GACAACAAAAAAAATACACAAAGTGCACACACACACGTATTAGTCGTTAAGTCACTGCACAAACAGACACACAGCCGTATGCAAAGTTTCATTCATTTTGTTCGGCTGTTGTTCATTTTTTTCTTTCCTTGCTGCGTTTTTTCTGAAATCATGTAATTTATTACTGAAAGAGAGAGAAAAAATAAACTGTTCATGGCTTTAAAAGCTGTTACAAATACTTCCGTTTTTCCGAAAAACAAACTAACAAATAACTTTGAAATGCGTTTTCGTTTTGGTGCAACATATGTCATGCAAATTTATCAAATGTTCCTCGTATTTTTTTTTTTAATGGAAAAGCAGCAGTTTGCTATCATCAATGTGATGCTCCTTTTCAGGCGCATGTCTAATTGCACCGCATTCTTTTGTAAATATGAATTCGGTTTGCTCAAATTACAACCTAATTAATTGTGAATAATCCGATTCCAACTGCATAGAATGAGTATTTTATTAGACACTCTCTGTCAGAGTAGGAAAAAACACAAATTGTGCGAGTGGTGCGCTTGAACTGTCTGGATTGAAATTATTGTTAGTATTTTAATTGATTGTAAATGTTAAGAGAGAGAGAGAGAGAAAAAACGGAATAAATTATTAAAAGTGGTGCCGTTTAAATCTCGAGAAATAAAAACATGCAATGAAAATGATGCAATTGCAAAATAGTTTCATCATTGCTGAAATGACGTCTGAGAGCAAAATCGGAAGTCGGTGCAATGCACTGCATATTGAGTCGAGAATAACAATTCAAGGGAAAAAAATTTAGTAAATTATGTTCAAGATTGTTTTTTTCCCGTTTGTTTGAATATGCATATGTATTTAACGGCCTCATACGTAGCGATTAATTGGTTGGACATTTTTAGCAAAACCGGCAACACAAAACAACTCAGCTTGCACAAACAGCGAAATGGATAGCTCACCAAAAGTGAAAAAATTTTTCGTCGTTTTGCCTTTTTTTTCTCGGGGAATCTCACAAAATCGACCAAATGAAATTTTGAAAGCGGCATTCAAACAGAGCCAAGCAAACAGCACAGCCAGTATAGGAACAAAAAAAAAACAGATGAAAAGAATGGAATCCGTTCTTGGAATTCATGTCTCATCACGTTTAAGCACACGAAATCTGTTTGCGTATCAACGCCATGTGTGTTATTATTTTTGTACGACGAGAACGAACATTCCATAACACATTTTGTGGCGTTCAATTCCATTCGTTTGTGTTTCATACTTTGATTCTTCTTCTTTTCGACGAGCTATTTTGTCGAGTGAACAAGATCAAACATGTAATGTGAGAGCAGAGATCATCAAGTCGAAATGTTGCGACCATATTTGACCTAAAATGCATAATCGTTTCCACAAAGCGCTTTCAAGCGGTCGGATGGTATTTTGTCGCTTGTGTTCTCACATGCATACCGTATTTGGAAACGTTTTTCTCTCTGTCAAGTATGTTGGAAAATTATGAAAATTAGCAGTTTTCCTATTCACAAGAAGGGAGTATGCCGCCACAGTCGCTGTCGCCACTTGCAAAGCAAAACGGTTATGAATGAGTGATCATGGGTGGTTTTAAGGAATGGTTTTTGAGTGTACGATTTCAAACTGAAATAAAACACGTCACATCATAATTATTGCCACAGTTCATGGAATTTTGGTGAGAGGAGAGCCACAAAAGTGGCAGCAACAGCATCGGCACTTGACTTCCTCCATCGGCAAGCATTGATTCATAATGCAACATCTGCGTTGCTTTGCTTCAATTTCCATTGCACAGAAGATCACCGCCCCGGGATCATCACTCCCATGTGACATTGCATTTTTTAGGCGGACAAATGAAATGTCATTTGATTTGATGACATTTGGCGCACATACGCACAAGAAACTCATGTTGTCGGCAGCCAAAAATGAACATCCTTTTAAGTTTATTTATATTGTGACTATTTGACTACAATCTGTTGAAAATGAGCGGAATTTGTCACTGCGACACACACAAAACGTCCGATTCATTACCAGAAAGAAAATCCGTTGGGTTGAAACGAACGAAAGGCAGAAGAGATTCGAACGTAGAAAAAAAACCATGAGATTGATTTAGCGTTTTTATTATTGTTGATGTTTAACCGCGTTCGGCCCAATAAATCGTTCAATTTATGTGGACATCTGTTTTAATCGGTCGTTGCAGCCGCTATCGCCACCACCGCTGCGAGAATGAGAGTCATGTGAACATGAAAACGCTCTTGCTTTCGACCATTCGCCACTAATTATAGAATGATGTGTAGGATTAAACGGCTTGCGTGTTTAACCTATTTTAAAATATTTACAAATTAAAGGCCGTCGATTCACATCGGCCGGAATGTTGACGCGCGATGTCAGAAATCGGTGGTATACACATTTTTTGACGTAAATCGTTTGTTGTATTCTCCTCTAGCACAGGATTATCAATATATTATGGCCACAAAGGCTCATTAAACGCACGGGTCCTTCATTAGAATTTTACGATTGGGCCATTGACAGAGTGCGGTAAAAATAGATCGGAACAAGTACGTATAGAAAATCACACACATCCAACACCGATGGCCGACATTCCCTTCGTCGAACAATGTTTGTTGTTTTTCACTCGATTTCGAAAGCAGGTGAGAACCATCAATACTTTAGCTGTAACAAACCGAGGCCTATACGACTTTGATCCGTTCACATTATCATTAGCGACAACGATGCTCAGCTTGTAAATGAGAAAATATCATCTCTCGTTTAACCCGTTCGAAACCTCAACCGTTAACCGTAATAATGCGTACTCATCTGTAGTGATCGTTAGCGCAATTGAAATTAAAATCAAATGCGACGTAATTTATAAATTACAAAAATGTGTATCAGTGCCATTTAGCGCAATTAGCAGATCCATCGAGAATATGTGAGAGAGCAAGCGAGTCTAGTGAACGACGTGATTCGATTCACAAATGCACCGGCTGCGAGCGCACCAGCACGACGGCAAACGGATATATGTACATGTGAATCGACAACAATTCACGCAATGCATAAACACAAACAACATCTCGCATACAAATGGCGGCGGTATGTGTTGTGAACGATTTGCTTTGCGTGGGCCGCGAAGGCGCCAGCTGTGTCAAAATCTATTTCACTCGCACGTTACAAATGAACATTGATGGTATGTTTCACACGCATACACACACACATATACACCCCGACTGCACCACGCTCTTCCAATTACTTACGACGACTTTATGGTTGTTGTTTTTTTCGTCGTTAAATGCATTAGCTGCTCAAACTCGAGGCAAGTGCACGGCGCACAGTATTGATGTGAGCAGCAATAACGAAAATTATTCAGTACACGCTCCTGTTGTTGCTCTCGTCGCACTTGAATACCAGTTAAGAACGTACGCAATAAATATTCGTTCTTTTTATTGTGCCTGGACTCATAATTCAGACCAGAACGCGCGCACAGATTTCTTTTTTTCGCAACAATAATTGCTGTAAATTTGCCAGATGACTAGCATTTTATGTGGGCCACACGTCTCCCAAAATTGTTTTTGTTCACTCCGCTTTTCTTCTCTATCTCTCCCTCTCTCTCTCTCTCTCTCTCTCTCTCTCTCTCTCTCTCTCTCCTTGTCTCTCTTGTCGTTAACCATTTTGAAAACAAGAAGGCGCGTCGTCACATTGCCGTTGGTACTACTATTAAGGATATGGAACACATGAATCGAAACAACTCCACCGTTGATCGATAAAACCGAAACCAACGGGAACATATTCGATAAATAGATTATGAAGTTTTACACAAGTACCAAAGTGGACCTTATATCGATTCTATTTATCTTTGATGGGGGTAATTAATTGCTTCGAATAATTTGATTTCCATAATTATAAGTTTGTATTTTAATTCCTTTATGTGGTCGACATGAATATCGTTGTTGCTGTTGTTGTCGTCGTCGTTATATTTGACGTCGTACAAATACGGCGTCTATTTTTAGCCGACAGAAATTGAGCAACGATTCATGGAACTAAAATTAGCGTTAGCAGTTTTATCAACAAGTGCAGTGCGGTAGTTGAACCTGATTGTCATCATCAATACTCATAATGGAGAAATGTCGTCGCTTTGATATGGCCAACAGCCAACAGCCAACATCAATGTGGAATCATTTATTACGCAAATCGAATTGAATTTCGGCGGCAACATGTAACGAATACCAATTGTGATAATCGATATTTAAAATATCATTGGGCTGTGTTGGAACCGCACTATTATTCATGAGCAAAAAACGAAGCGGAAAGAGCAAGGTTCGTTTATGAGGCAGAGGGTGAGAGAGAGAGAGAGAGAGAGAGAGAGAGTGAAAAAGCCAACAATGCACATCAATGACCTGCAACCAGGAGAAGTACAAGCAATCACAGTACACTTGCACTTCGACAATTCATTTGATTTTGTGTCGTCCGTTGCCGTCATCGAAATCCAAACCATCGACGAGGCGATTCTTATCGAAGGGCTCAATAAAACACAATGAGATACAAACGAATGCCGTGGAAGAGACGCATCGATCGGAGGCTAAGTCAAAAGCAAACGCACATACCGACAACCGTTTATCGAATACGCACAAAATGAATCATACGAACACAAAATAGAATGCCATGAGAAAGAGATAGGAGAAGCGAACGAGAATAACAAACAACCACAACGATACTGCTGTGAGCACACGGCTAAAGGAAAAATTTGGAATTCAAGTTCTCTCTTCCTCTTTCTTGTTGTCTCTGAATGTGTCTCACTGCTGTAAGTCGCCACTCATTCACATCATTGGCCGCTGCCGTTGCTGCTGCTGCTGTTGCTGCTCACATGCATACGCTCGTTCGTTGAATACACATAGCACAGAGAGCCAGTCGCTGCTACTTTTTTACGTTTGTATTATTGCCGTTTTGTTGTTTTTTTTTTTTTTTTTCATTCGAGCCTGAAACAGACACAAATTCGTGCCGATAAATTCAGTTTCAACAGAACACTTGCACTAAGCGGTTGTTGTTGCGTTCGCTCTCCGTAAAAAAATTGTTTGTTTCAGTTGAGTTCAAACTGATTTGCGTGTGCATTAAAAATATATCAAATTCATTGAATTTCGATTTCATCGAAAAATTTCAAAGTGCTCACTGCTCATAGTGATTTATTTGATATAAATCGATTGGGCGTGCTTGTGGATTTTTCCCAATTGAATAATACCGAGAAAAAAAAATCTTTTTTTTTTTCAACAAAAACTAACGTGAGAATATTTAATTGAAGATTTATGAACAAATTGTAAATCATACTTTTTTCAACGCAAAAGATTTCCAGAATAACAGTTGAACTGTTAGAGAGACAGCGAAAAAATAAATAAATGAACAGTGCAATTTTTAATACCGGATATATGGTGTTTTTAACGAAAGTGAAGAGCGAGCAAGAAGGAGTCGAAATGCCATCCGAAATGAACGAAAGCTACACTCAAATAAGAGCCACAAATTTATCCGCACTTTTATTCAAAGGTAAGGAAATGATATCAATACTATTGTTCGCGTAGAAACGTAGGGCAAATATGCATGACAGTCACGCGCGCACAATGAAGCGTCGCAATTCCACTTAGTCAAAAATCCAATATTCAAGAGACATCGAACAAAAAGGAGCAATCAATCGACCAAATTCAATCAAATCGACACATTGCATTCGGAACATTGTTTGCAAATGCCATTTGCAAGAATTTAAGTCAGCAAATTCGTTCGAACAGCTGCGAATATTTGAATAATTATCATAATCGTAAAATGACCGTGTACACCGTGACCATTACGAATTTAAAATTAGAACAACTTGCATAGAACGCAAAACAGACTCACCAAACATCGAAATGAATAAAAATGAAAGGAAAAACACAAATCAAAATCATTTCGTCGGTATTTAAATAATGGTTTAATTTAATACGGTTTTGAAATATTTTTTCGATGACGTTGCAATAGACGGGTAGTTTTTTTCTCCTGCTGTTTCTAGTTTGTCCCATCACACAGAGTAGAAACAAACGTACATTCTCTGTCTCTTCCGATGTGTGTAATTTTCATTTCAACCAACCGCACTAAAAATAAACATATTAGACATGATTGAATCGTACCTCAAATCAAATGAAACGAACATGAAATATAACATATATGCGACTCTCTCAACGCACGCGAAACGAGAGATCGAGATGAGCGCCAGATTGAAATAGAAAAGTGTTTACATGATGATCGCTGTGGGATAAATTTAATTTCTCTGTGAAATCAACGCTAATACGTTTTAATTTCGAAGAAACCGTTTACTGCACATGCACACACACACACGACGGATTCGGCAGACAGATTCGGCGTTGCAACGGGTGAATATGCAACAGAAGATGAATGTGTAAAAATATAAATTGATCATAAAAGAGTTGTGTAAGCAATAGCGAGTGTGAGGTTGTGTGCACGCGGATGTGTGCGCGTGATGAGTGTACGATGTGCATGTGCCGATTGCAAGTAGAAATGTGCATGATACAAATCGACCAGATGGCGCCTTTCAGACCTCCCAACTATTTCTCAAGAATCTTTCTCACACTTTTGTCGCCTCTATGAATCGAATTGGACACACATTTTCAATGAGAATGAATTATTGTGGGCCAAACATTTTCACGAATGATATAGAATCGTTACGGTTAACTTCGAATGGATCGCCGGACGAAAATGAAAGAAGAAAAAAAAACGGGCAAAGAAGAAAGTGGATTATCCGTTATCACAATAGATGTTGTGAAAAAGTTTGCGATTATAAATTTTTGCAGATATTTTATATCGTTGTAGTAGATGTGCAGTATTTGCCACTCATTCTGCTTCTGTTGCTTCTTCTGTACCATTGCAAACGTGGTATTTACAATTCGAATGACGACCGAACAAATCGATGACGCACTTTAACACATTTTCACTTCGCCTGTTGTCTGCACAAACAACAATGTAATTTATTCGCTTGAATAATTTGTGCTAGACTCTCTAAAATATCGTTTACAGTTAGATCGTTTCCCATTGGTCACGATTTTTCACGTGGAGTTTTCGTCGCGTGTTTCCGTCATATTTGTAAAGAATTATCATATTTGTCGAAGGTTAAAAAACAAGCCTCAATGTACAGAATATCATCAACGGCCGATGACAAACACACAAACATCTTTTCTTCGCCTGTACGAAAATCAAGTCATTTCACCAAAACGGATTCTTTCTCCACATTCGTATCACACCGAAATCAATTAGCTACACTGAGAATATGAGCCGAGGAGATGCTAAATAAAGCTGGCCATAAAGAGCATGTGACATAATTAGCAATTGGCAAAATCAAGCAAAACCAAACCAAACGAATGTGTCGATAATAAAATATAAGCGACAATAATAGAAACAGGTGTGCTGTGCATAGCAAATTTATTTGCGACAGGCAGCAGCAGCAGAAGCAGCAGCAGAAAAAAATAATAAAGCGTATCACATGCTTCGTTTTGTGCTAATTTATGGACTGTACTTGTTTTGCGCTGAAGTCTATGTGTGCGGGCATGAATTCACGCATTCATGCCGATACATTCAGATGTTTATTTATTTTTTTATCACACTTGTGACTCGTCACCGTCACACGACTCACGCATTCAATGAAATGCAAACATTTCAACGACCAAAATGAAAACGAGGTGTGTGTATTTTTATCGAATGTCAAGAAAGTCTGGCATATGGTTTCGCCAATTTTCCCACATTCAAATATATTAATTTACGTATGGTTTCATGTGACGAGACAACTCTTGACACGTTCACAATTTTTGCCTAAACGAATTTCACTAGTCATTATGAGTTGCTCTGAAAAGACGCTCCACATACATACACACCTCGTTTATCGGATTTTAATAGTTATATTGTTTAATCATCTGCTTGCTGCTCATTACGAGTGGCTGTAAACGATAATGAGCCTCTTAATCCTGATAAAACAAAGAAAAAGTGATATATTCAAAGATGATTTTTTCTTTCATACATGAGGACCGTTCTTGGAAAATCTGATTCGATCTCTCTATTCAATACTGACTTGAATATCTTGTCCATATTTATATTTCAATAAGACGAGCTGTAAAGGCAAAGCACAGTTTTGTTGATGGTCAAAGTCATAGAGATGCCATTGCATTTACTCGATGATGGAAAAATAAAGAAATAAATGAGAGTGGCAACAAAACTCTATTGCCAACGCTGCAGCTCCGTTTGAGAATGGGTGAACAGCATCGCTTTAGCGTCGAATGTCGAGACACGTTTGCTGAAACTGGCGCCATAAAAACATATTTTCCACATCCACATGTACGCCGAACATTTCGCGGAGGAATACAGCGCAAAAAAACAAAAACAAAAAAAAACGATGGAAAAAGCGCACACACAAGCGCACACTCGAAGGCAGCAGTAACAACTAAATTCGTATACGAATGCCATTTTCTACATATCGCGCGACGAATAAAATATTTTATCAATATGAATGTGTCTGTGTTCAGTTGCATGCAGTGCACAGTGTGCGCGATCTATGCACACAGGCCAACAAAAAAGGCACACAATGTTGGCGATGTGAATCGTAAGAGGAGAACGCCAATAACAACAGCAACAGCAATATAACCAATGACCTAACACTTGTCTGCCAATGCATTTCGGTTTTCGCATATTTAGCACAAACATTGGCGAGAGTATTCACCAACACAAAAATGCGCCACAGTCTCATGCGAGAACCGACCAAGGCATTATGGATATGGGTTTTTTTCGAGCACATTTTTTACTCTTTCTTCATTTCGCATTTTTAATGCTGTGCGTCGTCGCCATCGTCGTCGAACGAAAAACGAGGAAAAAGTACTTGAGCGAATGGGAGAATCAAAGGAAACCAAAACATTGTCCTTACCTTTTTCACGTTGTATGTGCTCGACAATTTCGATTATGCTGTTCGATTTTGCACATAAAATGAGTTTTTTTATGTGCAGCTCATTTTCTTATCGTTTCATTTGGTTGAGTTCGAATATGGATGCGTTGGCATCGTATGGTGTGTAATATACGTTGAATCCGTGCAGTCGTAGAACGAACGGAAAAAAACGAATGTGTGTTCAAAGTATTCGAGTGAAAATCATTCTTTCGCCATTTGTGTGCGCATATCAATGACGCGGCATCGAAAATGCTTGAGAATGGGCGACTGTGAGGCAGTCAGTTGTTCGCCACAATTAAAAATTGGAGCAAAAGTCTGTACGATGAGAGAACCGAAGCAACAAATGAACAAGAGTGTGTTACAATGCAGCAATCGGATATCTATTACCCAAATCATTGTTGTTCGTATCGAATTTCATGCAATCTAAATTAAAACCGCAGAATCACTCTCACAAATGCGCAACGAAACACACCCGATGGATGAATGGATGTTTGCCAATTCAATACGTGCACCATCTGGTTACACGTAGCGACAAAAAGACATTTTGCACTTGGTATAGTTTCAATGATGCCGCAACCAAATAAATCATCGTATCAAGAGACGGAGAAAACGTATCACTTATTTTGTCGCAGAGGTTCGAAACCGTACATGATATGTTGTACTCCATGTCTCTCTCTCTCTCTCCATGTATGTTTTGCGATGCCATCTCAATTCGGTTGACAATTTGGCACACGGATTCACATTTTAAACAAGTGGACGTAATCAGACACAAAGGGTTAAAAGGAAGGCGCTCACCTCTCCTGTTCGTTTATTATATGAAATTCCAATGGAAAATCTCGTTTGATCGTTTCTCATTCGTGCAGAATTCAATTTTTTTTTTATTCGTTCGATTCAGCCATCATCAGGCGAAAAGAAAAAAAAGAGATGTGGAAGAACAAGGGAACGAAGGAAAAAAAAATATGAACAAACGAAGATTCCTTTTAAACGATAAAAAAAAATCTGCTTTGGCAAGCAGTATTCGGAGTCCCTTTGATGTTTTCACGTTGTTACATCGCGATGTCGAAACTGGTTCGATGCCTCTTGTTCACTTGTTGATCACACCAAATAAATAACTTTGCAACATAAATGTTCTCGCTGCTTTGCTTTTATGCGAACCATTCTCAAGCATTTTGGCCCGAAATTCTGTCGTGGGTTCGTCGTTTTTTTGTTCTTTATTTTCGGTGAATGTTGTAGCTAATTATATAGAAAGTATTTTGGCATTTATAAATAATCAATTGGTTTTTTTTTGTCTTTTTCTTCTTTTTTCGGTCATTATTTTAGATTCATCGAAAACGCCATCACAGTTGGAACGTGATGCTGGATTTTGTTCGGGCGGTTCAGAGATTGGTGACGACTATCAATCGGATCGTATACAAAGTAGCCCGAGTTCAACGGATACCTCGGAAGATTCCGTTGACATTAAATTGGGCAGCATTGTTATACCGCCAAAACGAAAAGCATTCGATGCAATCAAAAGCGAAAATGACATCCCATTGAAGAAGCGTTTCAAATATGAAAGCGTTTTTGGGCATGCAACAAATAAAATTGAACAGCCCTTAAACACCGATCAATTAATTCAATCGGATGCATTTCGTCCTTGGATTCCGGAGCAAATACACAATAAGCCGCATTTGCCAAATGAAGCCGAAATCTTGGCACGGCATCCTGGCGTGACAACATTGCACCGTGTGCCAGCCAACATCAACGATTCCAAAGTGTGTCAAGATGAACAGCCATTAGCATTAGTAACCAAAAAATCACCCGCCGCCGCCATCGCCAATAACAATAAATCAAGCACCGAAAACAGCAAGAAAAAATCACCGATAAAATCCATTAAAACTGAAGTGAAACCAAATTCACCGATCGATGATGAACCCAAATATTCAAGTGTGCGTTCCACATCTCAGCGAAATTACAAGAATATGACGCGTGAACGGCGAATCGAAGCAAATGCGAGGGAACGAACGCGTGTGCATACCATTTCGGCCGCCTTTGATACACTTCGTCAATCCATCCCATCCTATTCAAACACACAAAAACTGTCTAAATTATCCATTTTACGGGTGGCATGCTCATACATTTTGACTCTAAGTCGCATGACAGGATTAGACTACAGTGTCGATCAAAGTGAGCCATCGGTCGCAAGCTGCCTCGAAGAAATAACCCGAACCATCCAAACGGAAGGCAAAGCTCGCAAACGAAAAGACGAAAAAGATGAATAAACACACGAGTTTTCAACAACTAGAGTATTTGTCGTCGACTGAATTTCAATTTTTCATCATAGCTATTGTTAGATTAATAAGTCATTGGATTTTAAGGTTGTCTACAACAACAATTTAGAAGAAACAAAACAGATTGATTTAGAATCGATCGCTAAGAGCTGATAATTTAAACCAATTTTTGTTTCTCTTCTGATTCATTATTATATATTGAAATAATCGTTTTCTGTCATTAAGTTTTAAGCTCAATTTTGTAGTCAAACAAAAACGTATAGTATAAGTTCTTAGAGAGTACAAACAAATCATTGGTCAGTCAACCACTAAACCTGTACACAAAATGAAGAGAAAAAAAAGCATGTCAAGTGAATTGATTTCAAAACTATGACGCAGAATTGCAACGAAATGCGCTTCAAACGGCGGGAAAATAAAACCGAAGGAGGAAATTGACGATTCTGATTGGATGAGATGCCAACAAACCTGCAACAAGACTTTCAACACTAAACAAAAATAACGTTAGGATTTAGAAATTTAGTCGTATACGAATGTGTATAAAATTAGCCGATTATATTTGTGATATTCTATTGCCTAAATGTTAATAAACAAACACACAAAATACGTAATAAATTGAACAAGTGCTCGCTGGATTGCCGACACGTGCTTAATAATAAATAAACCAGATTGTTTTTGTATCGCTTCTACTTTTTTCTATACATCATTTTTACGTAAAACGGAAATTGAAACGGTGTTAAACAGATCTGTTGTGGACTGTCGAAAATTGTTGGATTCAATGTGCGCGAATTGTGTTATTATTCAATCGAAAACAAGTTTATGAACCTGAACCATAGCCAGAAACAATTGCGTTTCGTTCTCGCTTCATTCTTCTCTCTCTCTCTCTCTCTCTCTCTCTCTCTCTCTCTCTCTCTGTTCCTTCGCTGTCGTATTATTTGCAAAATCCATTAGAAGATGAAAAGAATCTGGCGTCTTTTCAACATCTCTAAATGATGTTAATTGAAAAAATGTGATCGCTCATCTCCTAATAAATTGAGTTGATGCATAGTTGCGATGCGATCAGGTAGGCAAAACACTCAGATATAAGCTGTATCTATATATTCACGTACACATACACACACCGTTTATGAGTTGAGAAAACGGAATTTCGAGGTAAACAAACCATTCACACTGCCGCGTCCATCACAGCCGATTTATTTGCTTGCAGTTTAACATATATATCGAAAAATGTATGCGTATTTCTGTTGTTGTTTCGTTTTTTTTTTTGTTCGTTCATTTCATACACATTATCATCACCTGACCGACTGATTTTCGAGTGCTAGTTTGTTGTTTTAGCTTCTTTAAATGAAAACAAGAGAAAAAATTGAAACTATTTGCTCAGGGCAAGGTGAAAAGAGCAGAACCACACGTCAGCACCTTTTATAATCAAGGCAAACTCATATTTCACACTCATTCCGCGAACGCACTAAAACTGAAAATCGCCAAAACAAAAGAATATTCCATTGCGAATTGCTTAGGAAACTCGAAACTACCACTTTTGGAAAGTCGAACGATGTCTTGATGACATGACAAACCTATTAGACCAAATCATCTGTGAGCAATTCAACTGACTGACTCGTTAATATTTGTAATCTGATGAAATCTTCTATAAATATAACATTCGATTAGAAAAACTTGTCGAAACTATTAGCAACGTTTGAGCTATGTGATTAGGTACCTCAAAACCTATGACAAAATACTTTCGTTGTTTAAATAACACCTTTTTGTAAACTTCAATCGCAATATCATTATTCGACACCGGTGTTGAAATCATTTTGAAAAAAGACGAGATGAGATTGCCCACATCGTCCACGTTTTATATCATCTGTCTAGGGATTTTTCACTTATTCGTAGAATTTGATTCTTCTATTTGAACGAGTTTTTAGAGTGAATTGTTTGGCATTGGAGCGTGTCAGGTGCCTGAAATCGTGCATCGTATTAATTTCTTTCGTACATAAAACCGGCTACAGAAATGGCACTGCTCATGTTCGTTTTGTAGTATAGTACCATTGAAGCGGCTCCTCGTAGGTAGGTCAGGTTCAGTATTTATACATTTTCACATATTATCGAATTTCTGTTTATTTTCTGTTGTTGTGTTTTTTTTTCTCCCTTCGTCGAAAGAGTTTGGCTAGCACATTCATGGCAAACATGTAAATACGTAGTGCCATATATACATGAAACATCCAGTAAGTCGGTTTCATTGATGCATTGCACACCAAACAAACCAAAAATAGTTCACTAAATGATCATTTCAAATGAAAGAAATGAATGCTTCTACCAACTGTGTGGCATGATATAAATTTTTCTGCGGCCGATTTTCGTTGATAAACTCGAAAATTGATGCGTTGCACAATATATCACGACCGTTCATTCGACCCCAATAACTTGTTTAGCATGTGTAAACGCACGCATATTTTCCGAAAAAATATTTCAAATAAACAACGCGAAAATCAACTTCTTTTCGCTTGGACTTTGGAGCCGACCAACAAAATGCTGTGTGTTTCTTTTTTGCTCTCTCTCTCTCTCTCTCTCTCTCTCTCTCTCTCTCTCTATTGCCCAGGTAATATGAATGCGTAAGTAAAACATTTGCCATATCAACAGCCAAAACCAAGTCAATTTTGCCAAAGTCAGCTATATTAACCAACAGTTG